TACGCATAGTAGCGGCCTATCATAATACGCTAAGAATATATAAACACGGACGAAAATCAAATATTACGCATGGGAAATGCATGTTAAGATCACCCATCAGAGATCAACCATCAAGCGTACGTTAATGATATGAAGTTAGCCATCTTGCAATGTAACGTGAGATCCTGGGAAAGCCGATCTTTAAACGCGCAATTTGTTTTCGCTATCCATACGAGAAAAATCCTTTCATGCTAATCTTGCAATACGAGTGGAATAACGAAGAAAATCTCTCTTACTGGCTGACACCATAAATCATAATTTAAAAAAAAAAAAAAACTAAAATTACCAAACAATTGATTTCCAACAGAGATTGATGAGCTCGAGGCTCTTAAGAAAATTATGCAAAATCTTTATCGTATGTCTTCAACGCATTTTTTGGAAGTGAAAAAACTGAAAAACGATTCTCCATGAAAAATATACCATATCAAATTTTGATAACTTTTGACTGAAAACTTTTACGTCAATTTACAGTAATGCCCGGAACGTCATATCTCATGCTGAAAGTACGTAATTATCACTAAGAACTTCCGTCCTTGATTTTGACTGCTGATAAGTTCTTCAAACGTTACGTACATAGAAAAAAATAAATAATAAACAATTGCAATATCGTACTTTAAAAATATTTAAATTAATAATATATCAATTCTTGTAAAAAACAGATAAATAAAATGTAAATGAATTTCAATATGTAATGATTTCAATAATTAAAATTGAAAATTTCTTTTCTCTCATCAAACATTTCAAACATTAATCATTCCAATAATTATTCCAATTTCAATAAATGCTTTTCGCTTTAGTCATATTAATATAAATACATATTAATTATAAATAGAGTTCTGCCAAAATTATAAATCATCTAAAGTAAATTTCAGCCAATAGAATCTCGTTCGAAAGGGAAAAAAAAGAAAAAAAAGAAAAAATAGAAAAACAACTTGACCAGAATATTATGAAGATATGTTGTAGACGCAAATCTTATAGAACGCTCTTTTGTCGCTATTCATATGCAAAGCTGCTAAGAAACCAATAATACAAAGCTGAAGTGCACGCAGGTAGCATGACAAGGTTGTAAAAGAGCACACGTGCCGCTTTTTACCACTTTATCGCAGTAGAAAAAAATCTGGATTTCGCACTATTTTTTTCCATCTCATTTTAATGTGTTCGAAAAGATCTTGATAAGTTTAGTTTTTTCTTTTAAATTAAAATATATATTGTTAATAACAAAAGAGGAATGGTGATACCATTTTTAATTCATTTCATTTTTTTTCTTCTCGATAGTTATGGACTTTAAATAAAATACAACTAAAGAAAACATCATTCTTCCCAAACTTTAAAAATTCTTTCAAGAAATTGACTTGTTTGTGTGTTAAAGTAGTTTAAAATACGAACACATCGTGATTCCACCTAGTGCTCAGCAATGCTTACTCATGACACGATCACTTTCGATCATATTTCTTGAGCGATAATATAAGATAAATATTTTGTGTATCATCATTCATGGTGATGGTGACGTAAGGGTTCTTTCACAGAAATGATCATTTTAATCTGCGAAAGCTGCTGAGAAAGAACTAGGTCATTCAACGAAAAGATTTTATTGATTATTGGTTGATTCATCACTTAATAACCAATAATTTTAATTCTGATTTAACTTACACTTTATCTGTTTTTAATTTTCTATCTTTATTTTTATCTATTTTTATTTTTCTAGAACTAAAAAAAAGATAAAAAATAAGTTAAACCGAAATTAAAATTAATGTACATTCGAAATCGAAATATTAACTTGACGTTTTCTTCGATATTTGGATTATAGAAAAATTTTACCGTGATGACGAATATAAATTTCTATAAAATATATTAAATTTTCCTTGTAAGGTGATTTATTTGTTTTATCCGACCAAAATTTTGTTTCATCAAATTTTTTCGTATTTGAAATAAAATTCAGTTTTAAAACTGAATTTTATTTCAGTTTAAATAAATTTATTTTCCACAAGTAAAATTTTAAGTACCTGCTTCTCATTAGAAACGGACATTACACGTAGAGACAAGAGAAAGAAACAACCGCGTTCGTCGAGACTCCAAGAAAATCATCGACGTCGCAATTTGCACACACAAGTTCGACGTTTCTCCTCTCCGTTAAAAGGAAACTGTCTTACCACCGTATATAGACCGTAAGCAATTTCGCGGAGCATCCATCCACCAATCCATCGTTGCGGTGTGTGTCGGCTGCTAATTGTAGCCCTCTCGCACGCGTTTAACCACACGATGAACAAAAGTGTTTGGATTTCGCCCTCGGATCCCCGGCGCGACGTTGTTCAAGCCACGTGACGTTTACGTATACCACGCCGCACCGTATGTAAACAAGTTTGGACGGATTCCGTTTATGTCGAAGGGAGACCCGGGACCCCGTCGGGTGTCCCCCGGAAGGAAGTGGAAGGTATTAATATTTCTCGCACGACACCAACGGGGGATAGGGGGAGCGGGGCAATTGTCGGCGGTGGTTACTCAATCTATTCGCATTTGCGTCGCGGCGGGGAAAACCATAAAGGACAGCTGACCGAATCGCCCGGGGAGGGGAATCAGCCCTTTGCGGTAAAGGCTTGATTATCGAAACAATTTGAGGAGAGAGAAAGGGAGAGCATTTCGTTAATGCACGTGAGAAACTTTACACATCTCTGTATCTTCTTTTTTTTT